AAATCTTAAAGTAGCTAAACAATTGCAACTTTGTGTCTTTTTCCGATTTTCTGACATAGAAGTTTATGCATATAATCAAGGTAATGAAAATATTATATTATAATGATGGTCATTTATTTAAATTTATTCCAAATCATCTTCATTGAAATGGATCCACACACTGTAACTGCTGCTCAAATAGTTCCTAGGAGATGTAAAACAAACAGTTATTTGTSCGCAAACTATCGCTGGAATATGGATGAATAATTACTTTTGAATCAACACTTGCCTCCTTTGGTATTCGGTAAACTAACTTTCGTAACTGATAACANCGCAAACTATCGCTGGAATATGGATGAATAATTACTTTTGAATCAACACTTGCCTCCTTTGGTATTCGGTAAACTAACTTTCGTAACTGATAACAATGTAACCACATGCCACACAACAACAACACACAAGCGCATACGCAATAATACCCGCACAAGCCATAGCAAATGAATTTTTCAATCACCGCAAACACAATTCACTTGTCTGTGGGACAATTTCACGGTAATCAGTTTAAACAACTGTCTATTGTAGCAGTTCGCCACAGAGCGAATGAGCTCGCAATGCACCTGTGACAAGTCAATCACCTAAAACCACAGACACAATGCCCAGCAGCAATATTATTTACACCAAATACATACATACATATATAGACAGGCACAATGGGCGAAAAGGTTCCATTGCCAATGTAGAAATTAATTCAGAATTTTGAAGATCAATGATGGTTTTTCTACGCTTAACACATTCGAAAGGACTTTACTGAACGATTGCAGGATGTTAGCTGTTATCTTCAATATTTATGGACTTAGAGCATAAATAATAATGAATTAAATAAATTGATTAAATTATATACAAAAATTGAAAACTTCGGTCAATTTCATAGTTCAAATCAATCCGTTTATACAAGGTGTGTTTCAACGCAAACAGGACTTTTTGAATCTAGCGCCCCCTGGTGAAGCCATCTATATGTCCACAGGTTCCTCTGCTGTTTTTTTGATTGTCCAGTGAAAATTTCATGATATTTCATTGAATGTAAGTGAAGTTATTGCGTTTTAAGTGKCAATATGTTTGTGTTACCGGTAGGAAAATGAGCTTCGAACAAAGAGCCAACGTTAAATTTTTTTTTTTTTAAATTGGTAAAATTTGAAACAATGAAACAAGTTTATGGCGATGATTGCCTATCCCGTAGCAGAGCGCACGAGTGGGTTCACCGTTTTCAAAGTGGTTGTGTGGACATAAATGACGATCAACATGTGGGCCAATCAAAATCCGTGATCACCGGAAATTCCATCGAAACTGCGCGTGAACTCATCAAAAATCAGCCGAAATCATCATTTAAGTTCATGGAAATGGAATTGAACATCTCCAAAATATCGATTTATCGCATTTTAACCGAACATTTTCGCTTACRCACCTCGTATTTTGAAATTAAACAAGTTATCAATTCTCGAATACGAGTGCAGACTCCTATAATTTAAAAGAATTTAAGGAGAAATATTGACGGACTTTACTCATTTTTGGTACATTAATTTTCCCCACTCTAAATCTTCATATTTGATACRGAGAGACTATGTAAAGGCATTTACTATCAGCACGCTTTTTTATTTTAGGTGTCAAACGATAAATGTACGTATCGCGTATATTTTCACCTCAATTTSGATAAAATATCTTGTAGATGAAATACAACATGGCTCTTCGTCGGCATGTAKCAAATAGAATAAATACACTTCTTTCAGAGCATCCCGAGCTCTTGTCGAAAGTATTAAGCAAAAATTTGGGACATTTTATTTATTGTTAAAATGTCATTTATTTTATCAAAAGTAACGAACGAATTATTGAGGAAATGTACGTGCCACACTWYRWAGYTCCTCTTCCGTTGGAATAACKTATTATACGCAGAGTTTGAAAACTTGTCGAAAAGTTTCGATTTTAATCTCCAAGTGTCTGATAAAGACCTAATAACATATTTTTTCGAATGTTTTTTGAGGCAAACAACAAATGTTTTTTTTACATTATTTTCATCTTACATATGAGAACTACTGTATGTAGCAGTTAAAGCGCATAGTAAACATCTCGACCAACGCACACACACATACAAGCAAATAGAGCTTGCTTGCCCACATTCAACGATGTTTTGTCAACAAACACAAATAACAACAACAATTGCAGGAATGAGCAAATATAATTGTAACTCACCAACAACATAGAGCATAACAGCAGGTGGCATCACACACGTGCCCACAAGCCAATCAGTGATGGCCAGGTTCATCACGAAGCAATTGGTGACGGTTCGCAGCCGGCGTGTGGTCAGCACGGACAGTATGACTAGTGTGTTGCCGACCACCGTCACCAGGATCAGCAGAACGAAAATTGCCACTGCGAGCGCCTTCGGCCAGGGCAACGCCACCAGGTAGGCGTCCATGGAGGCAGCCACGTGAGCGCTGACATTAGTGGCGGCATAGCTCACGGTAACACTGCTAGCATTCAAAACGGACTCAGTGCTGGAGTCGTAAAGAGTGAATTGGGCGCTGTCATCTGAATAGGGGGGATCCCCACCGACAGTGCTGGCATTCATTTGAATAAATGCATTTGGGGATGTAACGCTTGGAAATACTGCACTCAGAGTTGTGGCGAAGGTTGTCGGCACTACCGCAAATGAAGTTGCCTTTGTGGCAATTGRCGGTGTTGCGGTTGACGCTGTTGCAACATTGAAATGTGTGAGTTGAGAACCTGTTGTCGCTGTCGTTGTGGCTGCAACTGTCGCGGCGGTTGACGTTATTGCCAGGAACTCGTGAAGTAGTGTTTTTAAATGCTGTGCACCGCCTCCGCTGGCAAAGCGACCCTCCGGCATACTGCGCGTTTGTCTGTACGATCTATGTAACGGTGAATTGGATTGCTGGTTGTGCGTTTGTCGCTTCGCGAAGGTGGAGGTGGAGGTGGAGAGACGCGCATTGAAGGACTTCGATGATAGTTGAGTGAAAAAGCCGTTTTTCCTTGGCAATGCAGTCGTGGCAGCTTCGGTGGTGTGAGCCTGTTGGTTCTCGGAAGTCATGCTGAAGGGCTTGCTGTCATCAGTATGTTTCCATTTGATTGCTGTAAATAAATAAACTGTTGACTCTTGACTCTTTTATTTTTGCTTATTATCTTCTGTATTTCGCTTTGCTCTTCCTTTAGTACTTCAATTATTTGCGTGGGATGAAACATCTACGGAACGGAGAAAGTAGTAAATAATGCTTAGAAAGTATATCTACATATATATAAATAGTATATAATGGGCTTTAAGTTCGGTACGATTGTTAAAGTGTCTGAAGTGGAGGCAAAACTGATAAAAAATAGTTCATTAAATAAAAGCGAAAACGCTTTTTGTAGTCTAGCTACCTTTTGCTACAGAGTATTATAGTTTTTTATACTCTCGCAACAAAGTTGCTAAAGAGAGTATTATAGTTTTSTTCACATAACGGTTGTTTGTAAGTCCTAACACTAAAAGAGTCAGATATAGGGTTATATATACCAAAGTGATCAGGGTGAAGGATAGAGTGGAAATCCGGATGTCTGTCTGTCCGTCCGTCCGTGCCAGCTGTAACTTGAGTAAAAATTGAGATATCATGATGAAACTTGGCACACATATTTCCTGGC